ACATACATACATAAAGTCATTAAGGAATTAACAGTGAAACTGAAGATCAGTCTCTTCACACCTCACATAGCATAGGTCCCCAAAACTTTCAGACTCTGATGTTGCTTTCAAGAACTGCCCTCAAGTGGAGTCTTTTTCCAAACTCTTTCCTTAGATGGACTCCTATTTATCTTCCTGCCTGCCTCTATGTCCTGGTTTCAGCCAGGATAGAGCTGGTTTTCTTCACAAGCCAGTGCGAGACTGTGTTTTGGATTTGGGATGAGAAACTGTTGATAATGTGCTGATGTTTTGGGTTGCTGCTGAGCAGCCAAGGACAGTCCAGCTTCTTGTGCTGGCCTGCCAGCGAGTAGGCTGGGGGTGCACGGGGAGCTGGGAGGGGGCACAGCCGGGACAGCTGACCCAGGCTGGCCAAAGAGATATTCCCTACCATACGACGTCATGCCCAGTACATAAACTGGAGTTGGCCGGGGGGGGGGGGAAATCGCTGCTCGGGGACGGGCTGTCGATCACGGGGTGGTGAGCAATTGCTGTATTGGGCATCACTTGTTCTTGTACATTCCTTTGTTGGTATTATCATTGTTGTTTCCTTCTTTTTTTCTGTCCTATTAAACCGTGTTTATCTCAACCCACGAGTTTTTTCCCAATTCTCTTCCCCGTCCCACTGCGGGAGGGGGAGTGAGCGAGCGGCTGCGTGGTGCTTAGCTGCCGGCTGGGGCTAAACCACGACACTCTACCACACAGCGGATTCATTTGTTACTTCTCCTCCTCTATACAAGAGGTGCCAGCATAAACCTCCTACACCTTTCTCCCGAAGAGAAGCCAGTCAGAGGTACCATTAGCAGCCTCTCATGTTACCCCTACAAAATCAGGTGAACTCAGCACTTGGACAGAAGTGAGGGGCTAGCATCTGTTTCTACTACATCAGCTTGCATGGCACAAACCGAATCACATGGGAACAGAAACAGCATGAACCTTTAACTGGCTCTTTTTGGCTCAGTCTGTAGCATGATTTACTTGGGAATATAGCGGACAATGTACATAACACATACATCTATAATATATACTGCAATGCCCGCTCCACAAATTAAGAGCTGTTAGGGCCCGACACTGTTCTCAGCAATTCCTCTAGCATGCTTCCCCTGCACTAAGTTTGACTCAGATCAGAACCTGGCCTGAATACATGGATTTTGTAGATTTAAAGTCAGGGCTTTGTTTCTAGTATGATGCAAGCTTTACTTAGTTTGTATCTTGAATAACTGGAATAATTAAATCATTAACTGTGAACCATCTTTTAAGTAAACAAATCCATTTAGTTTTACATTAAAAAATGTAAATGTAAAAAAATGGAGGGTTTCTTTTGTGTCGGTATTTTCTAACAAGTAATTTAGATTCAGGGCTTTCAGGTTTTATTATAATTTTCTCTTTTCAGTTTTGTTTGTGTAATGCTGACCTGATTGGTTAAAAGCATAATTCAGACTTAATACACTTAATAAATTCCTCAAAAACCTTTTTGCTCTCCTCTGACTGGTGTTCTGAACACAGTCAAAACCTACCTCACTTATTAAACATTCAAGCAGGAGACCACAGTGATACCTGGGGGTGTTAGCCAGGCTGGGGGCAGGCAGTCTCATGCTGTGATACCCCGGCAAACATTGGACTCGATCTGGCTGCTCCGAAATTCTCCTGCCTTGATCAAGTAGAGGTTGAACCTCTAATTTGGTCACTGTGGTAATACTGCCCTATGATGCACTTAAAAAATATCCCTCACCTGGATAACCAAACTTTATAGCACCAATTCTTCCCAGCTATGCCAAAAAGTTGAAGAGCTGAAGCAGCTCCACCGAAGATGGGAAGAAGGTCCCCCACAGCCTTCCGTTATGATTTTCACAGGCACATTATGTCACAGTCTGGTAAGGACAAATACCAATAGAGCCAAAACTTGTGAACTTTGTAAAACTGATGTTCTTCTCCTATTCTCTTTGCTGCCCATCATTTGAAGCCTTTCTTCTGTAAACACAATTGTGACTAACCTCACTCCTGTGGAGGTACAGATTGGCACCCTGTGCTTGTAAACTCTGTAAGGAAGGTGACCCTGTACAGTGCGATGAACCCCAGCCACGAGGCTGCTTTGAGATGGTGGTGGAAGAACGGCTGCAACCATGCAGCAGTGGATGCAAGTGCCACAGCCACAGGCTTCTCGTCTATACTGAGGCTGCTGTGTACCACCATCAAAAAGCGCAACCACATTGGTTTTTATTTATATTCTTCTCCTGGGAATGTTTAAGTTTGAGATGCTGAAATTTTAGTTGCACCCAGTTCGTGCTATTTTAGCTTTCCTTTAACTTCATTGGTTTATCTTTTCCAGTTCTAACACATTCAGCTAAAAAAATGTGTGGCTCAGGAAACAGTTCACAAAGCAAACGAGCAAACAGATACACAAAACTCAGTTTCCAAACCTCCACAGTGCGTCAGTCCGTACAAGGTGTAGCCTTTATGGCAGAGACATTCAAAGCTTCCAGGGTAGTTGATGCAGGTGTGATCACAGGTCCTTTCGAAGGAACATTCATCTATATCTGAATTTGTAGAAAAAAGCATTAAGAAATTAGAATTCAGTTAAACTGAATGACTGGAATTTCACATTCAATTGCAACATCTTGTTAACTAATAAACTAGCAGATTCCACCCCAGGTAAAATCTCAATAAAACATCGGTCTTATTTCTCTAATGCCTTATAAAGAAAGGTACACGGAGAAAGGTAAGAAAAGATAATTTAAGGAAAAAACATGAAGACGGTATTACGTATGTTCACCATTAGATGGCAATCTTTAACTTCTGATCATATTTTCCCAGCCGGGCTGTAGAGGTAATTAAGGTTTCGGGGGGTTAGTGACACAGTGGAAAAAAGTTTTGCGTTGAATCAAGTCCTTCCTTCTTTCATTGACCGTTCCTCTGACACCTGACCCACCAGGACAGGGAGTCACTCGCAGAACTCCGCTCTGCCTCAGCAAGACAGTGCACAGCGGCAAGGGGGTGAGCAAAACACTGCCTGAGAATAAGCCAGTGTCAGGAATGGATGGGCTGCACCTAAGACATGGGAAATCTTAGTCCAAAGCCCACATTCTACCTAATTCAAGAAAATTTGACCTCTTCCCCTTAAAAAAGTCAGGCATCTGTAATTATCACTGCTCACTAATGTGAAACCCTTATCTATATAGTCTCTTCCATCCAGCAGCCTATGAAGAAAGCAATTATCAGCACGTTGCTTCAAAGATAGTACAAAGGTTTTGCTGAGCAGGGTGACATAAAGGTTTATTTGACAACAGTCATCACAGAGTGCATGTGCTGAAAACCATTACATTAAAGGTACTTTAAATAGCAATGTTTGCAAAACAACAGCACTTTTGAGTGAATTTTATCCTCAGATAATTGGTTTTCCTAGAATCCTCTTCAGTGATTAATTTTCTTCTGTTAAAAGGTCAGTGAAATTAATACAATGGCATTATTTAAGAGTGGTAATTTCAAGAAAAATCACACTCCTCTAGTATTTCTGAAGCATAAATGAATGGAATAGTATTCCTTTAATAGCTTGCACACTTTCTAAAGTTGCTTCTTAAGAACATAGCCTGAGCAGCACCGTTGCTATATATAACTTGGACTTTCATATTGTACATGCTTAGAAAGATGTGGGTGCTTGAAAAAACGTGGAAATTCACAAATACTTAGGGGTGTGCTACCCAATTCCTATATTTAAGTATCGTTTATATAGTTTTGAAGTTTAATGAAACACTCTGGGCCTCATCATGCTATTATAAATACAAATACTTAACTTCAAGATATATAAAATTAAGATTTTGTGTATGTGTACACAAACCCAAAATCTGCACAAATTTAGAATGTTGAAAACAGCTCTATTTTATATCATCTCCAGTTCTAAGTGTTTCAAAAGAGAATTCACACTGTGGAAAGCAACTGTTTGGGCAAATGCGTAACGTAAAATGAAATACACATGGTGACGAAAACTCTGTGCTATCCGGTTTTGTGCGTGCATCACGATCACTTGTTATGATCAAGTAGCAAAGAACGGATAACTGAGATTTTATCTTTTTTACATGTATTACATTTTTAATGCATTTTCCTATGCATTTTAAAATATCGTTATTTGAGTTCTGAAAGTAATTTCTTTTTAAGGTTTCCTTTAGTGTTGGAAATATGCAGCTTTTGAATACGCACACATCACAAATTTTTTCAGTTTTCTCTAAATAAATACATGAAGCAAAATCATTTGGGAACGAGCACTACAGTTACAGTTTTAAAGGATTTTTAATGCATAAGAAGCCAAATCATACATCATGGTTTCATTCATGTGTATCCTCGTTCGCTATATGGTATTGCAGGGAATTTACAAAAGCTGTTCGTTTTCTGGCCTCTGACTTACCTTGGAAGGCTCCTTTTCAAAAATAATTTCATATTTCTCAACAGTGATCTTATCCCGGACTAGTTTAGTTGATGGGCTTTATGCATTGCTTTCACACTTACCGCCTTGTGTTGCTACACAATCTGGCTTAGGCCTTTACAGGTTTTTCTTCACATTAAGCAGCTTGCACGTCCCTCTTTGCCCGTGGAAACAACAGTCTGCCTAATAACGTAACCAGTCATCTGCTTGCCAAGTAACAGGCACTCACGATGGACAAATGCATTTCTATTACACTAAATATCAGCTACTCATAAACTTAGATTGCTTACACTGGCTGGCAGAGACGCTGAAACAAACACTTTTATTATAATACAAAGACCGCTATTAAAAGCTTTTTCGCCATTTAAACCCCTCATCCCACCTCCTGCTGCTGTTCTCCTAAATTTGACCTCTGCTGAATTGGGCATCTTGCCTTGACTGATCGAACGTGGAAAGCCTCCACGCAGATTTTTCCTTGCTTAACAAGCCCCTTGGCCCCTCTCCTCCTTGCCTGCCGAGGGCAGGGTGCTGCCTCGCCGAGCTTTCCACAGCGCCCCGTCTGCAGAATCACCAGTGCCCTGAGGAATTCGGCACTGGTCATAGAAAAGGGAAAAATATGCACCACATGCTCGTCACTAAAAGCAGCTGGTGGTGTGATACAGGATGCTGAAATCCTCTCATGCCTTCTTTTTTTTTTTTTTGTTCTGTTATCCCCTGGCTCCCAGAAACTTTGAAGTTGGCCTTCACACCTTTGTGGTGCTCCACAATACTTCACCTTTACCCTGAAAGGATGTGCTTATTTCCCACCACCCTCTCGATACAGGTATATCTCATAAGAGACTGAGGAGCAGGGAGTTACACCTGGTTTTCACCTTCACAGCCCTGGGTTTCAAATCCTGCTTACCACACAAGTGGGAGCGAACGTAGGTATCTACTGTCTCCTCTGTACAAACACTAACTACACAATTTGCTAGTATTATCTATTGAAGGGAAACCCAAAAATACCAAAGGAGAGATGTGGCAGGTTACAGCTAGAGAACTGAGAAAAATACTTTCTCTTTCAGTTTTGTGGTGCCCCCCCAAATACATGTACACACACATTTTTGTATTGGGTCGCTCTAGATTTTCCCCCCTCACACACACCAAAATAAATACTGAGAAATTAATTTTCTCGGTCTGAGGTGCTCTTAAAATGATTTAATAGTTATTTAAATTAAGTTTTTGAACTGTTTTAGCGTGAAAAGTCAAAATGTTTTGTTTTCAAGGAACACTGCAGTGGAAAACTTCAATTTAAGGTTGAAGTTTCTATCCTACTTTTAGTTGAAATTGGCATGAATTCACAAATAGTTCAAGCTGTCTCAGAACATTTCAGATTTGCTAATGCACTTCGACATCAAACACATTCTTTTTACTTTCACTTAGTCAAAAATGCATCTCACATTCACCATGGTAATCAGCATACGCAGTTGTGTCATTTCAGCACATTGACATCTTCACAGCTTAGCTGTTTGAAGCTTACAGGAACTGTGGGGCTAAATTAATCTCTGGTAGTAGAAGTCCAGTTTCCTGCCAGAGGCAGGTTTTTTTAGGCTTACTAATGGTAGCATATAAACTCTAAGATGAGGAACTCCCTACTTCACAGCAGACGACTGTGGAAGTGCCCAGATCAGGGGTTGGAGCAGACAACCTCCAGAGGTGCCTTCCAACCTCCATCACTGATTCATGGGCACACTGGCTGTCCCAGCCCTCTCCAAAGGCACTCCCTCTACGGTGGCCTGTGCTGCTGAGCGCTCTCTGTCCAGTCACTGTTTCCATGGCATCAAGGCATCATCTCAGGCTGAATAAAGTCCAATATCTCTTCTATCAATCCATGTTCTCATCTCCAAAGAGAATGTTTGGACAGTGGAAGCACTCCTTTATTTTTGCCTAGAAGGGATTCAACTCAAAGAGATTGTTCAATGGTTTAATAAAAGAGCGGGATTTCCCTGTGTTTTTGAGGGAAGCAGTTGTTGCCAGTGGTGGTCATGCTTGATAATATTAGTTTGCCTCTGTTCCTATTATTTCAAGTCAACGTTTGGATTTTATTATTGATTTTTCAATCATACTTTGCTTTTTTTTTTTAGTTCATGCTTTCATGCATTAAGCGATCACATAATGGTCCTTACTTTTCTTGAATATAAAGTTTGTTAGTGGGTGTCAGATTGTCAGTACTGGAAAGTACAGTCTTCCATCTATCTCCAGAAGGGAGCTACCACAGATCAAATTCCTTCTAAGTTTCCTCACACAGATGTGTCTCAAAGGTGACCTGAGGGAGCAGGGAGAAAGCGGCTCATTGTCCATGCTCATTCAAGTCCCTGCCCTTTCCACTGATGCTGCCAGTAGACTCCCAATTACAGTAGCACCAATTGTTCTGGTGGTTTGTGTGATGTGGGCATTGACTCGTTTGCGGATGTAGAGTGCAGGGCACCAAGAAGCCATCACACAGTAATGATTTTTTTTCTAAGTCTGAAATTGAGCTGGATTCCTACCAGCAGCTCTGAAGTGAAAGGTTCTTTTTGGTACTCGGTTTCCAGTCCTCAAATGCTGTCCCCTACATTCTTGATTGTCATCGCTTTCTTCTCTAAAATAAAATTCAGAGTAACTAAAAGAAACCAATGATCAGGAAATTAAAGTGTAATGCAGGACATTTCCACAAAGCATTAGCACTGCAAGCAAGCAGCTCAACACTAATCATTTACATGCTGGTAAATGGCACTGTTTAAATAGAGATGTTTTGAGGACTGCAAACTGATGCAGAAACTGCTATGACTCCCTGACAGAATGTACACATGCAAAATTCACTCACACAGAGGTACAGATATGATTTGGGGATTGTGGTTATAGAACTGAACAATTCAAAGGCCAGTTTGCCCAATCTCACATTAAACTTTTACTGCAAAAATAAGGATTTCCCCCTCTCTTTCTTCCTTAATATAATTTTGTTTGTTAATAACAAGCGAAGAAACTGGTTAGAGAAAACTAATGGTCATCACCACAGCTTTTGTCTGAGACATACATTAAGCAACTGGGTTAATTTATGAAACTGGCACTCTCCTTCCAAAACACATGCCGCATGTGAAG